CAAAGAGATATCATATTGTTTTGACACTAAATATAAAGTTTTTTGTCTCCTATTTTGGTCGGTCGGTGACAATCAGATGACTTTATTTTGTGTCGTTTACAAAGTCTGTGGTCTCTCTCAGTCTATAGACAAACAATTTTAACATTCAAAGTGTTTCACGAAAATATTTCGTAGCTTTTATTTTTGTGAATTATTTATTTCCCTGTTTTTTATTTGTTTTTGTTTTCTAAAATAATTACTTTTGACAACATAATAAATTGTATCAAATATATATTTACTAATAGTTACAACAAATAATTAACTCGTGAATACTTTTTGATTTCATTTGTAAATATAAATTGTTAAAATCTGTGAACAAATTTGTTTCGGAATAATAAATATAACTTATAAACAGTTTTAAATAATCAGTTTTTAGTTTGTGTTTTAATAATATATTATTTGTGACAAAATGATGAGCGGAAAGAGAAAAGTTTGCAAACATTTAATTTTTAATCTAATTTAATCTGAATATTAATTGTGAACATCATTTATACAGTCATAAAAATTATAATAATTTTATATTTAATTTTTAAATAACAAAATTAATTTTAAAATTAAATACAATCTATTAATCTCTCCCATAATAACAGCGCGAATGTCTATCCATACACGTGGGACAGGCGGGTGTCCAGATGGGGAACGCCTGTTGGGAACTGTATTGTCTGGAGCACGGCATCCAACCGGACGGACAGATGCCGTCCGACAAGACGGTGGGCAGTGGCGACGACTCGTTCAACACGTTTTTCTCTGAGACGGGTAGTGGTAAACACGTGCCCCGGGCTGTATTCGTGGACCTGGAGCCTACCGTCGTGGACGAGGTGCGCACCGGTACCTATCGGCAACTGTTTCACCCGGAACAGCTCATAACAGGCAAGGAGGACGCGGCCAATAATTATGCTCGGGGTCACTACACCATCGGTAAAGAGATTGTGGATCTGGTGATGGATAGGATCCGCAAACTGGCCGACCGGTGCTCCGGACTCCAGGGTT